TTACTATCTCCTCAAACTAATATCTCACCACACTAATATCTCATCGCACTAAAACCCCACCACACTAATATCTCATCACACTATTATCTCATCACACTATTATCTCACCACACTTAAATCTCAGCACACTCATATCTCACCACACTCATATCTCACCACACTCATATCTCACCACATTAATATCTCCTCACACTAATATCTCACCACACTATATCTCATCGAACCTATTATCTCATCACACGAATATCTCACCACACTAATATCTCACTACACTAATAACTCACCACACCAATACTCCATCACAGTAATATCTCACCACACTAATATCTCACCACACTAATATCCCACTACACTAATATCTCACCACACTAATATCTCACTACACTATTATCTCATCACACTTATTATCTCATCACAATATTATTTCACCACAATTAAATCTCACCACACTAATATTTCACCACACTAATATATCATCACACTATTATCTCACCACACTAATATCTCATCACACTAATATTTCACCACACTATTATCTCATCACACTTATATCTCACCACACTAATGTCTCACCACACTCATATGTCAGCATACTAATATCTCACCACACTAATATCTCATCGCACTAATATCTCACCACACTCTTATCTCACCACACTAATATCTCACCACACTCATTTCTCATCACACCATTTTCTCACCACACTAATATCTCATCGAACCTATTTTCTCGTCACACTAATATCTCACCACACTAATATCTCACTGCACTAATATCTCACCACACTCATATTCCATCACTGTAATATCTCACCACACTAATATCTCACCACACTAATATCCTACTACACTAATATCTCACCACACCAATATCTCATCACACTATTATCATCACACTTATTATCTCATCACAATATTACCTCACCACAATTAAATCTCACCACACTAATATCTCATCACTAATATCTCACCACACTATTATCTCATCACACTAATATCTCACCACACTAATATCCAATCACATCAGATGCCATGTTTGAGGTTGATGGCCTGGACGACATACCTGATGTGGTTGAGGAACGACACCACAAGAGAGACGACGTACCGCCAGTCACTATGCACGTGGCAGAGACAGTCGAGGAAACAGTCAAGAAGCTGCAAGGTACGCACATGCGCATGTGTTTGTAAGGGAATGTGTGTGTGTGTGTACGTGAGTGTGTGTGTGTGTGCGTGTGTGTGTGTGTGTGTGTATGTGTGTGTGTGTGTGTGTGTGTGTGTGTATGTGTGTGTGTGTATGTTTTTGAATCTGTTTACAAGGGATTTGCATGATTGCTGCTCTTATTCATAGATTGTGTACATGATATGTGAACGGCCAGTCACCTGGCACAGCTACTCGGTGAGCTCATGCGTATATGAATTGTGTATATGAGTCTTGTTAATATAAATTATGTGTATATGAGTCTTGTTAAGAGTATATATATACACGTATCTAGGGACTAAATTACACATTCAATTTGTATCCGCAAACTCTCGTATAGCGTGTATCATGTATTTGTGGGGTATATTTATACCTCTCATTCTCTCCCTCACTCTCCAGGCCTGCAGCTCGATCCCTTGCCAACTAGTACACGTGTGTAGTCTACACTTGAGTGTTAGTTATGTAAACAATTATACATGAACGAGTAAACGAGCACAGTTTGCACATACTTGAGTGCCGATACTTTTACTTTAACTATACCTTCAATTTTGTGTCTGCCCTCTAGGCCTGCAGCAAGAGCCTTTCCAACCCAGTTCACAAGTAGAGCCAGACGCGTCTAAGCGCCGATTCCTGTGCTGGAATATGGATGCCAGCATAGTCAGCCGGGTGGAGGAGGACTATGCCTCCGTAGACATCGTAAGTTGTGTGTATACACACACATATTTTATATATATTA